TTTTTTTTTTTTTTAATCCAAAAGTCTTGCTACCTGGAGATGCTTCTGACTTCATACTGCAATCAGCTTTAAATGACCTCTGGTCTATAAAACCAGATACAGTTCAAGTAGTAAGAACACAAAACCCCCAAAGCTATGTTTACATGGTAATTTTTATATCAACTCGAGGTAAGCATGTATATCATTTTGTACTTCTGTTAGGATTTTTTAAGAAACAAACTTGTGTCCTGTACAACTCCACTGAAAAAGGTAAAAACTCCATAAAAATGACAGGGGAAAAGAAGTGGATTCATAGCCTGGATTAATTTTAGGAGAAATAGAAATCGAACGGTTAATTTTTTCTATTGTAATTAAAACTTGAATTGTATTTTAAGTATTATACAACTTCAGTGCATGGGAAATATACTATGTATACTACAGATGCCCTATCTGGATAATAGCCTACTTTAATTTAGCAAAAATTAGTGAAGGTGTGAATTCTGGAACTAAAGTTTAAGTACTCAGTATTTCTCAGGAGACACTAGTCTGGCCAGATCTTGCCTGATGAAAGGATTCTGTGGTCACATCTACATGGGAAGCTGCATACTCCAGCTTCTTCTTCTTCTTGAAGATTGACAGAGCTCCTTAATATTAGTATCCAGGGACTCTGAAAAACAAACTGAGGATTCTAGAGATGGGGGGGATGGCTTAGCCTGGTGATGGGTATTAAAGAGGGCACGCACATATTGAATGGAGCACTGGGTGTTATACGCCAACAATGAATCATGGAACACTACATCAAAAACTAATGATGTAATGTATGGTGATTAACATAACATAATAAAATTTTTAAAAAAATCCCCGAGGAGTCCTACAGTGAGAAAACAAACATACAAAAACAAAAACTGACAGAAAACATTTCACCTGTGTTTAATACAGCATTTTCCAAAATTATTTGACCACTCTCCTTTTCAAGTGATAGCTATTAACTTCCTGAAAATGTTTTACATTTTTAGGTCTTAAAAGCCAAGTGTCGCAACCAAGTTTAGTATTTGGCCTATCTAGCTCAAAAATAGGTCCCTCAATATGTATTTTTTTTTTTTTACTTTGGGCAATCAATATTTTCCAATTCATGTAAGTAAAATATTACTTCATTGTTTATGTCTCATTTTATACAATTGTTAATTTGATTGTTGAGTGGAGGGCAAAGAATTTTATTTAACATGAATTGAAGTTCTAAAAATTTCCCAAAGGTTAGATTTTCAGAATGCTGCATAAATGAAGATATGATTATCTGTGTTCTCCCAGAAACATATCTACAGTTTAGAGAGAAATTTTAAGGCTTCAGCAGCAACCTTAAGAAATATGGTACTGGGGTGCCTGGGTGGCTCAGTCGTTAAGCATCTGCCTTCGGCTCAGGTCATGATCCCAGGGTCCTGGCATTGAGCCCCACATTGGGCTCCCAGCTCCGCAGGAAGCCTGCTTCTCCCTCTCCCACTCCCCCTGCTTGTGTTCCCTCTCTCACTGTGTCTCTCTCTGTCAAATAAAAAAAAAAAAAAGAAATATGGTACTAAAATCATAACTGGGCAAATTCTAGGACATTATCCAACAGAGAAGGTCAGTGGGATTCCACTGTTAAAGCATCTTCCCAAAGCAGAGATACATCTGAGGACAAGCCCTTATTGTTTTCAAAGTGAGATTGTATAAACAGGCCACATAGGCCTGGGACTACTTTCTGGAATTCAGCTTTGTGCTGTATTCATATTTAAAGAAAATAGCAATATCTCAGCCTAGCCCTTTAGACTACGATAATGGTACTGGAACAAAACTAAAAGAATTTTTGGAATATCCCACTGCCTGCCCATTGATCTTTACCTCATAGTCCCAATACCTCCTTCTGTTTATCTCATAATCCTTTCTTTTAAGCCATGGAAACTGAACCTTAAATGAATAGCACTTTATTTGCTGTTTTGCTATTTCTGCTACAGTTAAATCTGCTCAAATTCAAAGATCCACATCTTCCCCACTCATCCTTTTTTTTGGTGATAATACAACTAAATAAAACTAATTTTATTTACTTTAAGTGTCTATTATGGATAAGTTGGTATTTTATTAATTACCATCTTGAAATTCTGTTTGGTACTTCATTGCAGGAGACTTTGATCTGCTTGGTTATGAAGTGTTTGAAGGGGACAATGTCACACTGAATATTACAGAACAAATCAAAGGAAAACCCAGTTTGGATACATTCACACTGAACTGGGATGGGATCACTTCTAAGCCTCTGACCGCTTGGTCATCAGAAGCTGAAGTATGCTCTTTGTTAACAATTTCTTAAGTAGAAAGCTATTTAAACATCACCTTTCTATTAAAAAAAAACCCAAAACTCCCATACTTTAAGGAGTGGTAATATGCTCTTTCACTTGGCATGGTGGGTTGGAGCCAACCCATAAAGAGCAGAGAAGGGAGGAAATAGAGGGTTTGGAAGGGAGTTCTTAGAACTGTGTCAACAGGATCCAGTATATCTTTGTAGGGGGCAGCTGTTCCTGGAGAAAGAATGTTTGCTTGGGAGTTACTGGATTTTGACAACTACCTGCACAATGAGTTTAAGTTAATATTTGTTTGATGATTAAAGATCTTATATTATCTCCTTAATTCTAAACATTATATCTGTGCTTTGCCAGAGAAGTAGATGTGGAAATTACAGGAGAACTTGTGAATGTGTACCAATTCCTGAATAATCCAAAATGATTTGTTATTTTTAAATAAGCATAAATACATAGTGTAAACAAAAGCATAAACCAAAGAGACTACCATAGTATCTGAATTTCTTCTTTTGAAAAACAGAATGCATTAGAGTGTATAGTTCTTTCCAGTTAATTTTGAGTTAATTAAGAAAACTATTCATTTGGAACCTGTTTAATTGGGTGCTAATTCATTTAGGTTCACCTCATTGCCTTCTTTAAAAAAACTGCTAAACAAATATGTCCGCCTTATGTAACAACTGTGTAAGTTAATATTACCCAATTGGATGTAACTATTGTCATTCTAAAATAAAACTCTTGAAAAAGTCATTGGACACTAAAATTATTACAAATGAGCTTAAAAACATTTAGGAAATGATCTCATAATGATGGCTAAAGTATGGGAATTATATTCTGCAAATGTTCTATTATAACTAATGAGTGAAATTAGTGGTAGAATTATGAATGTTCTAACTATTCATGAAAAAGAAGTTACTAAAGCTCATATTGTTAATTTAGTTTCAGGCAGCCGTGGAAGAAATGGTTACCGCCAAGTGTCCACCGCAAATTGCAAATTTTGAAGAAGGATTTGTTGTGAAATACTTTAGAGATTATGAAACTGATTTTAACCTGGTATGGAATGTTAAATGAACTGAAACTGGCCCAATAAGAATTCACATAAATGCTTGTAATTTTGTGATTTTCTTTGTACTAGCACTAATTCCTATTGTCAAATTGCAAAAATAATTTTGTTATACGTTTATTGATAAGGTCTGTTTTAGCATCTCTCTGCATCATAATGTGATTCATTTGTGAAAGCAGCACTTCCACCACATATGAATTTTCTTGATCAAGGGAAAGTAGACAAGATGGACAAATGTAAGATCTATAGGGTATTTTATTTGTTTTCTTTACTTGGATGCGGAGTATATCCTGTTTTCTCATTGGCTTCAGAGAATGCAATTTGTAGTAAGGCATTATATAATAAATTGCTTCCCTTGAAACTTGAAGATTCAACAAACAGACAAACAAACAAAAACCTGGCACACAGTGACCACTGAGTAAATATTTGTGGAAGGAATGAATAAATATCCTTAAGAGTTCAAGATATAAGGAGAAAGATGAGATTTAGGAAATAGTCAAATACAGGTACAAGGGATTATATGATTATGGAGCCAAAGGAGTGATAACAGAATGGGAGCTCTAGAGTTTCAAAGAGAAAGAATGTTTCAAGTTAAAGTAGCGTGGGAAGCAATGGATGCTTGGAACTTGAACGACTTAGGTGGAGATGTGGGGGAATAAAGCAGGACCGTAAAGCATGTTTTCATTTGAAATATTATTGTTTCTGTAGGAACATGTTAACAGAGGGAAGAAGACAGCTGAAACTGATGCTTACTGTGGTCGGTATTCCCTGAAAAGCCCAGCTGTTCTTTTTGACTCAGCAGATGTTAAACCAAACAGACTACCATATGGAGACATTTTATTATTTCCTTATAATCAGGTAAGGATGATATGCTAATTTAATCTGTAAAATACCTTGGTAATAAAATTTCATGAAATTTTAAGACAGGAAAAAGTGTCATGTGAAATCGTGTCACATTGGACAGGTACTGTGGTTCACATTCTAGTACTTGTGATTTCCTCTTCTGTTTGTTCTCAAAAAAAGAAATTTAAAAAATATGTAGTATCATGCACATGTATTCTGCTTTATCTTATAATTTCAGAGAAAATTATTTGCACATAAATTTGAATACTAAGATCATTACAAATATATTCTCTCTTCAATATTCCTTCATTTATTAAGAAGAAACAAAAATGGATAGCCATCATAGAGTGATCTTGGGTATCCAATCAAGGAAACGTGAAGGAAAAGCCTGAGCAGAGATGGTAGCTTTAGGATAGGTATTTAAGACTGGAAATATAGTCTTGCTTACCCTTTTTCTTGTTTTAAAATTCTCAAATTGTGATGCATGTTCTCAAGTTCTAAGTTCTTTTGTTTTGTTTTCACATTGCAAAAATTTTATTTGGAAAAGATCTTTAAAGCTCAAGTTCTAAGTTCTGAGTATATTTGGTATGCTTAAGATGTTATAGACCGTTAAAATTGGTATTTAATTACTATTTTACAGTGACATCTCCACCTCTAAATGCTCAGCTACCATTCACATCCCAATTAATCTACTTGAGGGTTTATCTTCTCTCTGTGGGTGATGAGCTTTTAAATTCACTGGAGATAGAGTTCAGTTAGAGCTGGATTTAGATTTTACATTGCTCCATGACTATAGGCAGTGGATTATTTCCATTTTTAAGGAAACCATACCTAAGAAAACATTAAAAAATTAATCATTAATTGTAAGGTCACTTCAACTCCACTTCCTCTTCTAGAAAATCTTCCCCGATTCTTCTGTACCTAATTGGCTGAAATTAATTATTCTTTCTCTGTGTTCTGAAACATTTTGTACAGAAAATTCTCAATATTTATTTATTGGATTAGGTTGAATTGATTTGAATTGCTATAAAACAACTTAAAGGTAAGATATTATTATTGATTTCTTTTTTAATTTCCTGTGTAGTTATGTTTGGCATACAAAGGATTCCTGGCAAATTATATTGCTCTGAAATTCCAATACCAAGACAGAAGCAAGTTTACTAGAAGCAATGATATACAATTTACATATAATTTTACTAATGGAAACAAGTAAGTTATGCTATGAATTTAAAACTTAACTTACACTATAGTATATAAACTGAATGTAAAACAAACCCACTTTTTGTTTGTTTTTTTTTTCACTTTTTTGTTAGTTTTTGAAAAATCACGTGTACCGTAGATCTGACTAAAGTTTTCCTGTCTTCTACAGAAGCATCCTAACAGAAATAGTTGTGCCAAAAATAAATCTATAGATTGTGAAAATAAAAGTTGGTCTAGTGTTATCACCCATAACCATTTAAAAGATAAAACAATGGTAAATTTTATAATTTAAATCATGTATTATTAAATCTAATAATGTTCCTACTTACTGAAGGAAGGTAGAAAGAGACTGACTTATCACAGTATTGTCATTAGACTTTGATCCCTGCAAAGAAGGTGCTTTCTAAGTGAGAGTGGAGGAGATACAATATTTCAATGAATATTCCAAAATTAAGGGAGAAAAGACACTTTTTAATGCTTGGTTTGCCAAAAGTCAGACACATAGAAATGCAAGTACAAACTATAAGGGGAGAAACTAAATAATCCTAGAGAAAGCTACTTAATGATTATAATTGCCATAGCCTCAAGCACAATTTAGTTCTGCATAATTATGTTTTGATTTTTATTAATTGTTGTATCTTCTGAAATTTATGTCAATCCACTTTTGCATTTCCACATACAATACACACACAAATTTCACATACTATAAAAGTAATAATGAAGACACATTCACACACATAATACACTTTTTTATTTTAAAAAGTATTGCCCAGGTACATATTGCTATAACCATTCCCTGCATACCTGAATTGAACAGTAGAATCACAATTTGAGTTTTGAAGAGCACCACCTGCGTGCATTTCGCTCCTCCACTGTAACAAGATTTGGGAACGTTTTCCAGACCTCGGTTCTTCCATGTTAGTTAAACCATCACTTTACCATATTGCTAAATAGGTTTTTCCTTTTAACTTGTAATGTATCTGCTGTGAGGTAATTTGAAGATGCACTACATTTGATAGAACTGATGGGCTTCTTTTACCCTAAATGCTACGAGATCTGTAACCAATAATAGCATTATTTTTAAAGGAATAGGGTTCACTGGTTAAAACTATTGCCAGTCAAGGCAAAATAAAGTCTCCTGCTCCTATTGGGTATTTCTAGATCTGCTTTTATTTAGGTCAGACAGATCACCTAGATCAAATAGATGTGTTAGCATTAGATTATTTTCAGGACAGTCTTAGTGTTAGAAGTGCCATTTTCTCCCAAGAATCATTCTATAATCTTCCAAAAGCAGCGATGTTTGTAACTGTAAATCAAGTTTCAAAATCTGAAAAGTTAAATCTTACTTTCTTTTAGAAAACATTATTATCTATCCACAAAAGCCATGTGCTATTCACTTGAGTTTTGATACCATTGTATCAAATACATGCATTTGATGTATTTTGATACCATGTATTTTTATACCATTTGTAGTCTCCTTTTGTCTGATAAAGGGTTCTGTTCAGTAAACCAAATTTTCTAAGTAGTTTTAAACTTCAGAATTATATAATTAGAGTAGAATTCTGTTGAGGCCCTAAGTACTTTTTTCATATTTATTTAAAGAGCACTTTAACTTACTGTAGTTTTGTGTATAATTTTCTAAAAATGATACATCAGTTTATGCTAAGCTTTGATGCACTGAGGTGGATCCCATGATGAGTTTATAAACCATGAAGGAAATTAGAATAGAAGGTGCCCAAGCAAACTAGTCAGTTAATAACTACAGTAATAGCTGAGTAAAGATTATTGTTAAATTGTATTTAGTTATTTCCATGGCAATATATATCTCTTTGTTGCAAATTCTCATAGCTGAATTGCTTAATTGTAATTTATGGAATTCCAATGCAGTTAATATATAGTGCAAAATCTGAATCTAAATTACCCATTTAAGAGGTATTATATTATAAATCACATAGCACTTTTTGTCACTTAGAACAGTAGACAGTGCAACTCCAGTGAGCTCTTTTGGGAGTAATAACAAGTTCCAGTTTTGCTTCTTAGTACTGAACTGAACTTACCGCTCTATCCCTCACATATTTTACTGAAATAGTTTACTTCATTCTGGCGCCTTGTTTTTATTTACATGCTCTACACCAAGGTGCATACTCCTTAGTTTACTTACCTATTGCAACAGAATATTTTATGTCTCTATGGCTATTGCCAAGTCTACAAATAAAAGAAAACCTGTACTTGCATGCAACATTAAATCTTTTACTACCAATTTAAGTTTCTGTCTGCTGTTTGTTGTTATGGCTGCTTTTCTGTGCTAATGAAGTATTCTTGATGGTCTTCTTGTGGGAAAAAACACTTTTACTCTTGAGATTTTAATGCTTTTTATAGTGGATTGGTTTACATTAAACATAACAACTGACCTACGCACCTAATTAAGCAACCATATTTCAGCTGGACCTATGCGTGCATAGACCTTCTGGACCTCATACAAACCAAATACACTGGGACAAATTTTTCTCTTCAGAGGATTGGTTTACAGAAAGTGTCAGAATCACAGTCCTTCTATGTAGATGCAGTATACATTGGACAGACATCTACAGTCTCGGCATGGGATGGTATGTTGTATCATTTCATATCTAGTTAAGCCTTCTAAATCTCTTGTAGTAAAATCTTACCATGGAAATGATTTATATCCCCTAATTCAGATAGAAACATTAGTCTCTAAATATTTATGACTCATTCTTTTATCTCAATATTATTATTTAAATCATATTATTTTTTATTCTAAGGATAAATGTACCCTTACTTTAAACTTTGTCATTATAGCAAGAATTAGTTTTAATGGTCCTGGATTCTGTTTACAGATATACAAACGGTGGCAAACATTTTCATTTTGCTTTGTTTGATTTTTGAGAAACTAACTATGAAGATATCTGTTCCTAAAAGGCAACTGTTGACTTTGACAAAAATTCAGCTATTTCCACGGACTTCATGGTGATAATTAATAATACTTAAATGAAGTATTCTGGTAGTCTAAGCATTGTTTTTTTAGTCATGTCAGTAGACCCAAATATATGAGCTGTGATAATAAAATAATTAAAATTAAACTGTGATCTTTTAAAAAAAATCAACCTAATTCCACTTGATCTTAGCCAAAAGGCCGAGAAGCGATAAAAATCAACCTAATTCCAAACGGTCACCTTGAAAAGTGACTACTACCATTTTTCAGTGGAATTTTAGAATCCTTTCCTTTGGAAATATTTTCAAGTGCAAGGTCATGAGTCAACTGGTAACAAATTAAATGTTAACTATTTTAGAGTGTCTTCTTTTGAATCTGCTCTCACCAGACCTACATTATGATTGGTGGAGCACATATATAAGATAGCTCACTTGTGCCCAGGTAAATGTAGTTCACTAAATAACATGCATTTAGCACCTATCATGTGGCAGGCACTGTGCTGGGTACTAAAGAAATTGCTGTGAACAAGACTGTCCTCCTGGTGCTGTCGTCATGGAGCACACATCCTAGTGAGCACCACTTTCAGGAACCTAGAGCAGAGCAGAACTAACAGGTGCACAGAAGGCTACCTGGAACCCAGGGTTTGGTGACTTTTAAATATTTTCTTTTATCTGATGAGGCTTATATGTTGACAGACTTTAAAGCTTTATATTCTAGAAATAAAAGTTTACCAAGCTCCAAAATCTACTTGCCTTAAGATCTTTCTAAAATTTGATTCTACACAGCTTATTCCATGACATGGATATAATTTGAGGGTTTTCTTCTTAGCAGCAAAGTCCATGCAATTTTATTTCCCATTTATTCTATGTTCCTTAGAAATGCCAAAGAGAAGACTTCCAGCATTAGCAAGTAAAGGGATATTTTTAAAGCACTTTCAGGTGAATCACACCAAAATTAATGGATCAAGTATGACCAACCAATATTCTATCACCATGACTTCATATAATTGCAGTTATAATATACCCATGATGAGTGTGAGCTTTGGGCAGGTAAGCCTAGAATTTTACAAGTTACTATTTTCAGTTTATGGGAAATTAGCTTTGATTTAGTTTCTTACTTTTTTACATTTTTCTTTTACTTTTTACCCATTTGTCCCCAACAATAACATCTCATATAAACTATAGCATAATAGCACAACCAGGAAATTGATACTGATACAATCTACCGATCTTTTTTTTTTTTTTTTAATTTATTCATGAAAGTCAGAGAGAGAGAGAGAGGCAGAGGCAGAGGGAGAGAAGCAGGCTCCCCGCCTAGCAGGGAGCCTGATGTGGGGCTCAATCCCAGGACCCTGAGATCATGACCTGAGCTGAAGGCAGATGCTTAACCGACTGAGCCACCCAGGCGCCCCGTCCATTGCAGTTCTAATTACAGTTCTAATTGTGGAAAAGCTAGTTTGTGTGTATTCATGGTATAGTGGTGCTGATGTTAGATAAGGATGGAAGGTATGAAGTGAGCTTTGATAATTTTTAAAAACTTCATTTCACCATGGATAATAGATCATAGGAGAAAAATATGGTAGTTTCATATTTTTCTATTTATAAAAGTTCTAGGAATGACAAATAATAAATGAAAAATAGGTAAAGGTTGAAAAGATCTATTAATAAGTTCTCCTCTCTCTCTCTTTCTCTCTCCCTGTCTTTCTTTTTGGGATAAGGTGAGGATTGCATATCATTCTTCCAATGCCAATGGTTATTTTTCCAGTCCAACACAAAGATCAGATGACATTCATCTTCAGAAAGGAAAAGAGTAAGGTTTTGTTTTTTCTTTTCATTAAACTATTGTGTGGTATTTAAAAACTGTAAGTTTATATCTAAAAATATTTTTAATTTGCTTTATTGGTAGAAGTGACATTAGTTTATTGGCTTAATTTATAATTCATCATTCTTTATAATTTTGTTAAATATGATGTCTATATTTTCAAGAATACTGGCATTCAGCCAGCCTGGGAAATTTGATATCTAAATTACCCCTGTTGCAGAAATTATAAATTTGTGAAATTTACTTAATCCTGTTCTTAGTGTCCTAGTAGGACCTTTCCGTCAATCTAGCCATCTAATTTCCCTGCTCAAGCACCTGAGCTCTTGAATATTTCTAGAGAAAAATCACAAAACCACATGCATTGGTACCACAGCTAATATATATTTAATATTCATTGATTTATTTTAGACCTTGAGCCAGGAAATTTAGTACAAAAAATATTAAAATATACTACCTGCCCTTAAGGAGTACATCACTTTGTGCTGAAAGGACAAAACCGGGGAGAAAATGAGACTAACATTCAAATAGCAGATAATCCCATTCACAAAGTCATTCAGGATTGCTAGAAAGCAGGGAGGTTAAAGACATGGTATATTCAAAGTAGCTAAGTTTCACGGAGGTCAATAGATTCAGTGAGATCATCTCCCATTTATCATTTGTATCTGTTAGGTTTTGCTGCATAAGAAACTACTCCCCAAAATTTAGTAGCTTAAAGCAACCCAATTTTGTGATTGGCTGGGCAATTCTTTTGGTCCTGGCTAATTTAGTTGGTGATTGATGGCCTAGGATGGCCTTACTCATATGTCGGGAACTCAGTTTGCATGATTGGATCTTAGATATTTGGGATGTCCCACTCCACATGGTCTCACCTCCCAGGGCGCTAGCCCAGGTTGGTCACATTGGTGAATGGGGTTCCAGCAGTAAAGAGAGCAATTGCTATGGCACTTATACTTTTTAAGACTCTGCTTGTGTCACTTTGCTAATATCCTTTTGGCCAAAGCAAATGGCCAAATCTAAATTCAAGGGGTGAAGAAATAGACTTCACTTCTAGATGGTAGGAGGTTTTTGTTTTGTTTTTCGTTCTACCATGCCATCCTTCCAGACATCGAGATTATGCACACAGACAGCACCACGAAGATCTGATGGAGCTAGACAGAGAGGGTTGGGATCAAAGGTCCCTGAGAGCAATCATAGTCCACGTTCTCACTGAAGTCTTAGTACTAATGACATGGGGAAAGCATCCCATTCTCTTTCTCCTCCGCCTCCTCCTATCACTTCTTTATATACTTAAACATTTGCTTTTTTAACCAGGATCACCGGGCCAATCTAGGGTAAGTGGGGTACCTAATTAATCCCTAGTGCTATTAAGTGTTAATACACCTTCAGGCTTTGCCTTGGCCTTGGAAAATGCGTTCAGTTTACCTGCTTGGCAGAAGCACAGAGCTTACATGAAAGTGACTCGTAATATATCTGCTGTCTGATATCTGTCCTCCTGCAAGGTAGCTTGGAATTTATACACTGACACTTATAATGGTGGCTGTGGATTCTGAAATTGAGGCCACTCTAGCTGCCTTATTACATAGTGGTCCCTGGGACCTTTCCACAGGTAGCTCATTTGCCAAATTCATCCTACTCAGATAATATAGCCCCATCTTTGAGTGCATATCTTTTTGGTCACTCTGTTCTACTTTGAATCATACCTCAGTTACTAATTTTTAAATAACCTTTCAATCTTTAAAACTCTCTTAGTTCATTCATATGAACAAAGAGAATAATAATATAGGTTTTATAGGATTTTGTGAAGATTAAATATAATAACATCTGCAAAGTGTTCAGTTTAGTGTCTCATACATAGAAAGTACCTAATGAATATTTTTAAGCTGCTATCAAGGATACAGAATTTAATGCTTCTTTGAGGTCTGCTTCTTAGTGTTGCCTACATTGATTTGGCGGAGCTGGCAAACAGGTTCTCAGGGCAGCCAGGAGCCTGATGTAATCCTCCAATATCAGTTCTATGAGGGGGATGACCCAGAGCCCCGTCATCCTAGAAAGATGAGAGGTGATACATGTCCCTCATTCAGAGGCTTTCATGAATTGTGAATACATACTCTTCACATACAAGAGGGTATCTGTTGAATGATGTGAGGCAATTTAGAGGAACTCCCAGCTGACCTCTCCAAAGATGGGAGCAGTGGTGACATTGATAGAGATTTAGGTGGGTAAGGCTTTTCAGTAGCTTTTCATCACCTGTATTGGCTGGTCAGTGAATGCTTTATCCTGGATAAGCAGTTGGATGATCCAGCTTGTTGGAGGGCCATAATCAATCTAATCAGTAACAGTTTCCTGAAACCATGTTTTATTTCCCAAGTTATAAGTGGAACCATTCTTTAACGAACTAGAGAGAAACTTCCATCCCTGATACATTTAACCACTCCAACACAAAATATGTGATACATCCAAGTCTGCCTGTTGTTTTCTTATACATATTAAAGTATTTAAACTCCATATGCCCTCTGTGTTTTATGCCAGGGAGTTTGCATTACAATGTAAATGTAATTTTGTTTTAAGCTCCATGAGGATAAGGGGTAGTCTCTCTTTCAATAAATATTTACTGACAAAACTGAATGAATCAGTCATGAATGGGGACAACTCTGTATCTCTCTAGTATAGATAGCCTACATAATTCATTTTATTTTAACAAACCACTATGAAACTTTAATATTTAAAATCAGGGATGCTATAAAAATAAATAAAATAAAATAAAATAAAATCAGGGATACTATAATATAAATCATTGTATAGGCCAGTGTTTTATATAGTGTTGAAATTTTATTCATTGGGAAAAAATTCGTATTTTCTAGATATTACCTTGAAATCTTGCTGCAGGAGTATAGGCTGAGTGCCTTCGTTGATGTTGGTCTGTACCAGTATAGAAATGTTTATACAGAACAGCAGACAGAAGATGCAGTGAATGAAGAACAAGTTATCAGATCCCAGTCGACAATTGTCCAGGAAGTGCAGGTTTGCTATGATGATAGATCTGCTTCGTAGAAAGTATATGTTCAAAGATAGGAGCTCTATTTGGTTATTAATTTTACTCGGGAAGATACCGTTTAGGGGCAAGGCAGTCATGGAAGATTATTGACTTTGTGGCTTGGAGAAACCGTATTAAAACTCAAGAGGTTGTTATTTGATAAGAGTGAAACTTTAAAATATTTTGTCATTTACAGTAAAATAGAGCAATCAAGAGGCATTGAGTGGTTAACTATCATGCTTTTAAAATGTATTTTTCTATACAATAAAGCTATGTTTTGTTTTTTTTAATTGGGAAACAGGTTATAACATTGGAAAACTGGGAAACATCTAGTGCAACTAATGAAGTTCAGAGGATCACGGTAACCAGCCCGTGCGTGGAAGCTAATTCATGTTCACGCTACCAATATAGATTAATCTATAACATGGAAAAAACTGGTAAGTTGAAATAACAAAGGAGATTTTATTTCTCTTCATTTATAAATGAAACGAGTCACTTTCATGTAAGCTCTAGTCAAATTCTACTGTCTGGAAAATATCATTTTAATAGTATGCTAGACAAAAAAGCTAAAAATATATTGTGAAGAAAAACCTTTAGACTTCTAGGGATAAAAAATGGCATCAGTAAAAACAACTTCCTGGTATATGATATCATTTTCTTGTATAAGGATCATGATAAATGTATATTTAAGGGCACATAAGGAATTTATATATCTGTGACTCACAGGTGTAAGTTAAGATAGTAAGAATTAAATTCACCATTACAGAGAAGTAAACATTTCTTCCAATTTCTTCTTCAAATTAAGTGATAAAGCTATGAGACACTAATTTATCTGTTAACAAAGACATTGCATCTCTATTATTTATAATAAACCTGAAAATATAATTTTTGCTATTTCCATTAATTGTTTCAATAAGTAAATATTGATAGGTACTTACTGTTTTCCAAACACAGTACTTATTACTATGGGAATAAAAAAAATAAAATATAATCTTGCTCTTCAAGAGATCAAAATCCAATTAAGTAGTCATTATTATTGAACTTGAATTAGTTTCAAAACAGTTTCATTAAGTGATAACATATGATACAGACTATAGGTGCCTTAAAAAATTCAAATATAAAACATCAGTGCTGGCTATGGTAGTGCAAAAAGATTTTAACTCTTTTTTTTTAATTAAAGTCTCTAATCATTTGACTTTTTTTTTTTTTTTAATCCAAAAGTCTTGCTACCTGGAGATGCTTCTGACTTCATACTGCAATCAGCTTTAAATGACCTCTGGTCTATAAAACCA